ACTCCTCACAAGACTACTCTTAGTTCTCACTCTCACTTGGTTGCCTACTTGGCTATTTTCTTGTTGGTTACATTAACAACACACATGCATACATATTTATAGGCATGTTTGCCGACATATGCCATCACTAGAATTTTCTAGTGCATGATCATGCACACACTACACCGACCTAGGCTTTGCAAATTGGCCTTATGTTTTCCTAGTTTCTAGTACATTCTAATTACAAACACACCCACTGACTTACATGTTGCTAGAAGTTTCTAGTTTAATATACATACACCGGCCATTGCAAGAATTCTCTAGAATTCAAACCAATTGGGCTGGTGTTGATCTTCAACATTTTCCAAGGTTATTTATCTCTAAGGTGTGTATATTCAAGATATTCCAACTTGCTGAGAACATGTTCTTCAACTATTTTGGTTGCAGCAAAAAAATATTTGAGGACTGGGCATATTCGAAGCCTTCTGTTCTTCCTATATACAAGAAACTCATTGCAGCAGGACTTAGAATATGGGTGTACAGGTAGATGTTCCCTGCCTTAACATTGTTCATTAGATAACATATGATGAAAACTATAAAACCTGGCTCATGTTTTTCTTTTCGATGGCTCAGCGGAGACACAGACGGAAGAGTTCCAGTGCTTTCCACAAGATACAGCTTAAGTGCTCTGGGATTGCCTATTACTAAGGCATGGAGGCCTTGGTACCACGAGAAGCAGGTAATTAGTTAATTAATTAGATAGCTTTAAACATTGAAGTTGGCATAAATAATTAAAATTTAGAACTATGACGATATTTTAACTTTTTTCTATCGCTATTAATTCAACTTTCCAAATTAAACTGGGATTGTGACATACATTGCAGGTTAGTGGATGGTTTCAAGAATATGAAGGTCTTACATTTGCAACATTTAGAGGAGCTGGGCATGCAGTTCCCTGCTTCAAACCAAGCAACTCACTGGCATTGTTCACGTCTTTTCTCCTCGGCGATCCTCTCCCAACCGCTCGAGTATAACTATAGTAAAGTCACTAATGCTGATAATTAACTAAGAAAATCCTATATGGATCTGTGTAGGGCTCAAAAAGATTTTGCTCTTAGTACTATACCAACTATATTGCTGGGCTACATGTAGTTGAAGACCATAGCCGAAATAGAGAATAAAAAAAAATGTTAGTTAACACATCAAGAGGGGTAAACCCTTCAAATATTTCTTATGTAAAATAAGGCCCTACGTCTCAAGAAATTACAAGTATTGAATACAGAACCTCGAACGCAAAATACACCCTTTAAATATCATTCTCATGCCTTGGTACCTAATTTTCCGTAGTACCTGTTGGTGAGTTTGAAAGAACTTATCTTGCAATTACTAGTTTTATTTGATTGGGCTCAATGGCAATTACGCCACCGTCATGGAATTGTAAGTTTAAATATAGCGGAAACAAAAGAACTCAACATATCCAATTAACCACTAACCTTGCGAAGTCATTGCAGCAGAAAATAAAGGTTCTTCTCCTCTCAACACTATCTGTATGCACTGTCAATCAATGGGGCTTGATCTTTTTGTTTGCATTTTTTTTTTTGTGCGAGAGTAGGGACTCTTTATTTATAATGTAAATAGTGGTCTTTGATAAGGATACTTCCCATCATGTAATCCTTATCAAAGTTATCAATTTTGATAACCCTTATCACTAATATCCAAAGCATCCATATCAGAATGGTTAATGCCAATTGCATTGGGACTTCTTTAGGTTATATTTTAGTCTTTATACATTCCTTAATAACCAACAAGTATTGTCATACATAAACTCTTATGATCTCAATCCCTCATGCAAGTACTAAACAAATGTGCAGCTCTCATTAAGCTTACAGGAATGGCTCAAGGGTAATTTCATTTTGCATAGTTTCTTTTGATTGATACAAGCAATATGGGAGGCAGAGGGAGTTAAAACGCAAGACTTCAGGTGCAAGAATAATTAAATACTTTTAATCACTTGAACTACAAGTCTTTTATGGTTTTTGTACAATTTTAAGCTACACAGTCGGTGCACAAATGAAAGTGTGGCCATGGGCCGAGGCATCGATTTATAACATTGATTGTCACTAAGGGAAACGAAAATATCTCCTGGTGAAAAATAATATCGCCTTTTCAATGTTTGAGATGATAGTGATACGCCTATACAGGATTTTGGTGAAGTTCAACGTACATATAGAAGGATTCGAACAAGAAATGCCTTATCCACAAACGACTTTCGTGCCCGGTTTTGATATCTATTCCAAAAAGAGGACTAATTATATAGATTTTTATAAATATAATTTGTCCTCTTTCTCAACTAGGAAAATGATCACTTACAAAGCTTGTTTAATTAGATAGTAACGGAGATATGATGTCTTCTTATAGCGAAAGTTATGCCATGGATCATGTACAAGATACAAATATCTCATCCTTGCAAAATTCTACATAAACAAATAAAAATATTCATACTTTTTGTACAATGAATTTGAAATTCATCCCTACATAAGTTGAGAGACACTTCTCACAAAAAAAAAAAAATAAAATAAAAAAAACCCACTGTATGTGATCCTATTCAGCTCCATATATTTCACCACCCCTTATGTGTTATGCCCTACAAGAATCTGATGAACTTTGAGACCCCATATTGTTCGTTTATTAGACATAAGACGTGACATTACATATTCCTTCTGCTACATCAATCAGGATTTAGGGTGAATAGGCCAATGACACGTACGCTTTGAATTGAGACCATTCAAGAAAACGCGATAATTAGGTGGGAGTGCTTTTGAGATAAGCCAATGCCAGGGCGATACATAATGTGCTACAATTATAGAAAAAATTAGCTAGGATGAAACATTCTATCGTGTAATTAAATGCCAATGTTTGCCATATTGACATTTCAAACCCAAAATCTCATCTTGTAATCAACAGCTGTTAGCGACAAAGAATAATCATGCGTCATTTTGTGGAAAATATTGGCCTCACTGATTCTCTCACAATTTTCCATAGAGTAAGATTATCTCTCATTCTATTCTCATCTTCTTCATTTCCCTCATTTCACATTATTTTTTGTCTTATTGTCTTTATAAAATAAATTAATATAAAATGTTGACGTAGCTTAACCGTGACCGTTCAAATATGAAGGGATGGAAGATGAGAGAGATTATGAAGGGAGTGAATCCTCCTCCATTTTCCATATCTTCATATATTATTTAATTAGGCTTTGCTTCCTAAATAAAAGTTAGATTTGGACCACTTGGCTATCAACAATCACACTGAGTCTGTTTATATATATATATATATATATATATATATATATATATATATTTTGTATTATGATTTGTGTCCATATAATATGTTGAGAAATGCTAAGGACTCTCCACATACTCATAACAACCTCATGTTTTTTGCAAAATATTTTATAATGTTGAGACGATAATTGATGTTATACTATAAGGTGTCAGAGAATTCATAGAAAGTTTCACTTTTGAAATAATCTATTTAGCATTTATCTAGTATGTCTTATGAAGTCTCCAGAATTTTGTGCTAGTACTAATTAATTAATTAATCATATTGATAGATTGGAGAGACTTTTCAGTCTTCTCGTAACACGGAGCATAATTCCACGCATTATACAATTGGAGGAAAATTTATTGTTTTCAAATGTCTCTCTAACTGTATAATGACACGTAGAGTTCCGTCCAGTATTTCGAACACACTGAAAAATTTCTTGATAAATTGTTGTTTTTTTTAAGCATAAGCGATTGCATTAAACTTTAGAATCAAATACAACTCGATCATGGAAGAAAACATCATGAATAGCGTCGAGTTGCACCCCATTATATAATTAAAACTCTTATTGATAAAGTGTTTAAGTTTTATAAAAGTATAACGGCATACAATGATGTGAGTTTACATCAATATTCCAAAGATATATGAATTATTCCTTCATGTTAAAAGAGATTTTGGAGACCACTAAAGAAATTAAAAGAAGGCTGTGGTATCCGATAGCTAACCCTAGCTAGTCAAAAGAAAGAGCATTGGAGACTATACTACTAAAGAAACAAAGAAGCCTCGTGCGTAGTTTGCTGCATGCTAGCTAAGGAATGCACCGACAAAAGTTAGGAGTCAAAAGTTATATTTGACTAACTCCGTCTCTAAGGTATAGAAAAGTTGGGATCATATATAACTTTGGTGCTATATATAAAGTTATAGTGATTTGGAGTTAAAGGTGAACCCCACACCTTTAAAACATACGAATGTTATATTTTACTTCTAAAAGCAATTAACTCCATATGCATTGAAAATTAAACGTTAAATTGGATTCTATATGCATTGAGAGTCAAAATAACTTCGTAACTTTTAACTTTTACCTTTGTAATTAGAGATAACGTCATTACTCCAGTAGATTTTTTTTTTTTTTTTTGGAAAAAGAGTAGATTTTTTTTTTTTTAAAGTGAGAAAGTATTATAAAAAACAATGCAAAACAGTCAAAAAGTCTGGCTTTTAATCAAAGGTTTTTGGCTTTTAAGATTCCACATATCATTACAATTTAGGAGTATTTTTTTATTTGTAAGTAAAATGTTTTTAAGTTCAACTTTCATAAATAGAGATTTCAATACTAAATTATTATAGTTGCCTTATTATGTGACTCAACTCAAATCTTTCACCTCTTGATGTAAATATATGTTTTGCTCAAGATCCCTAAAACAAATCGAATTGACTACGGGTTGTTCTGTAAATTTGAAAATTTTCAGTGTAAATTAATGTAAGTGCACATAAATGTAAACAACGTCTCTTCTGGGTTTATTCATAATTGAGAAACATCTCATGTGGCTTAAGGAATGGCGATGATAGCTAGAAGTCTCTTACGATAATTGCAGATATGGCTCATCGAGGTTTCTACATAGTAATTCACATCTAATACAAATTAGTGTTGGATAAATCATGCATCAAAATAAAATAAAATTCCAATAGTTCCAAATATCTACGTATAACATATTTTACACTGCCTACGTAACAAGTATATAAGTTGAGAGTGACACTAAACTAAAAATTAAATTACATGTTTTTCAAAAAAAAAAAAAAAAGATAAAAATTTATGAAACGTTACCCGTATATCGTTGCTAGTTAAAATCCAACAATTCTGATTCTGAATCTTATACCCATCATCCAAAACCAAACTATGAATTCCAGTTCATGCTTGGGAGTTGAAACTGTGGGCGCAAAACCCCATCTCCTAGTGGTCCAAGAAGTGCAGGATTAGGGTACAACGGCGCGGTACCCTCTGGCATCTGATTCAGTATAGAAACAAATGAGTTGTTTTCACTGTTGAGATCAGCATGAAACCTTTTGCTCGATGAAGTAGTAGTAGCAGCAGCAGACCCTATCGATCCCACGTCGTTCCAAAATGGCGATGAAAGTTGACGTTTCAAGGGTATGCTGGTTTTTGAGCCTGAAGTTGATATGGCGCCAAACTGATCATGATCATGGTCATGATGATGAGAATGAAAGCCTTGCTGATGATCGCTTGACGATAGTATGCCCTCGAAAAAGCTCTCGTGATAATCGCTTTCAAGCAACGCCGTGTAATTTGTAGTTGGCAGCTTTGATGATGGTGGTGGCGGGAACGGCGATGGTTTTTGAGTTGGCCATATTGATGGGTGTAGAAACATACCCTCTTCCATAGAACTATTAGAGTCCTCAGCCTTGTGAAGAAAATGATCACCCTCCATAGACATCGTAGGCCTTTGTGCATTGTTTTTCTTATAAACCCGGCACAAAACCCAATCATCAAGCTACAACAATAACATGACCAACAATACATTATTTAAAAATAAGAAATACAAAATAAACCAATTAATAGATCATACAATCATTACAAAAAAAAATGAGCGCAAGATATATGTGGCACAGGATGGCCCGAGTGAGTGCTATCCATAGACTGAATCTCATACGATACTTTTTGGTTTCGATTATTAGCGGTGGTGAATCACACGATAGTAGTCAGAAGGAAGCTAAAATGTCTTTGTAAGTCTTTTCGGCATTCGAAAATGTTGATTGCCGTGACGGAGCCACCAACTGATCCCCTTTATAAAAGAAAAAAAAAAGTGCTATTCATGGACCGTGTTTGATAACACGATATGCCGTACACTTTCAGTCAATCCGTCTTGTGCTACAGATATATGTCAAATATGTTGTACAAAAAAAGCACATACCCTTAGGGAGGCTTTCTTGTTAGCTGCATCAGAAGGCTTAGTGGTACTAAAACTCATTTTGGCGGTTGTGGTGTTGTTGATAAGGCGATACTCATGCATAATCCAATTGGTTTTAATCCCTTTTGGGGGCTTCCCTCCATAGAAAACAAGAGCTTTTTTCACACCGACGTTGTGGTTTCCGATTGATGTTAGAATAGGCTTATCGGTCCCAGTTGCCTTCCAATATCCTGAAGTTGCTGCCCTGTTTGGCCGTGCCCCATTCGGGTACTTCCGGTCCCTTGGAGTGAAAAAATACCACTCTTGCTCCCCAAACGTTGCCTTACCTATATCACCAAAATCAAAATTTTCCCAAAATTGAAATATAATTTCAGATGCGAGTTAGGTCAGTTGGACATGGTTGCGTATCTGGTAGACAAAAGAAAAAAACGTACTTGGTAGTTCCCATGGATCAAACTTGTACAAGTCTACTTCCGCGATGATGGTGACTGGAAGCGGGATGGAGGCGGCCTTTTTCTTGAGGTAATGGACCACCAGTTCTTCGTCTGTCGGGTGGAAGCGGAACCCCGGTGGGAGCTGCGGGTGCTGTGAACCCGATGATGAATCTGTGCTCTCCATCAAAACTACTCCCTCTTTACAAATAATTAATTTTTGAAAGAAAAGAAGAATACAAATATGAATTGATGAAGAATTAGAGAGGGTTTGAGAGTTGGCAGTGGGAGCTGGATACTAACAAGGGGAATGGGGTTGAGGGAGGGTGGCGGTTAGGTGCTAATATAAAAGGCACAAGCGGCACCGGTGATCGGTCGACACGTGGATTTGTTACGCAATGGTTTGGCGACACTTGGAAGGAAATGAGGGATGGGGACCACGAATATGTAAAGGCAGGGGATATGAGGGAGAAACGAAATGGGGGAGGGGCAGGTTTTGTCGGTCGGAGGTTTGGAACTGCCTGTACGCCTTTCATGTCATGCTTTTCTTGTCGAACGGCCGAACACTCCCTCCAAATAACAGATTTTGTGTGTGTGTGTGTGTGTGTGTGTGTGTCAGATTTTATGTGTGTGTGTGTGTGTCAGTCTGCACGTGTATATGGTGTAGATTTCATTTTCTTAGGGCTGGTTTGGTATTGTTGTGTTTTGAAAAAAAGCTGTTGTGAGAATAAGCGGCTGTGCTGTGAGAATAAACGACTGTGAAATAAATCAGGAGAGTGTTTGGTAAATTTTTTTATAAAAGTGCTTTTGGAAAAAAAAAAACAATTTGATAGTGGGTATTTTCATTAAAGGAGCACTGTAGCTCCGTGTGCTTTGAAAAAAAGCCAGTTTTCCAAAGCTGCAAATAGCAGCTTCAGCTTTTTCCTTTGATTTCAGCTTATTCTCACAGCAGCTTCCAAAATAAGCCATTTTTTTTTGTTTACCAAACATCTAAAACCCTGACAGCTTTTTTTCATGGGTGCTTTTTTTTTTAAACACCTTACTCCCAAACCACCCCTTAGTTTGTTGATAAACTGAAAACGTAAGGGAAAATTACACCTACCTCTTGAACTTGTCTTTTACTTTTGTTTACCAGGTGATTGAGTTTAGAGTGATGTTATCCACAAATTCTTTTTAATTTCGATATACTTTTCTTAATTTTTAATTTTTGGTGGATTGAATCAATTGAAGAGTATCGCATGACGTAAATTAATAGAGTGAAAGGTAATGAGTGTGTGGATAACACCATATGATTGATTTATTTATTTTAACTATTAGGAGAGAAGGAGGAGAGTTTGAAACTACACAATAATTAGGGCGAGGGGGAGATTTGAACTCGGAACACATGGGCAGAAACTCAACACTTTATCCACTATGATATTAGACTAGATGTATCTATGTGATTGACTTGTAATTCTTTGTAACACAGCGACAAACTTTACTCGACCTTCAATGAATTTATAATCACACATATAATATGTTTACTTATTTGAAATACGGCTAGTTATGATAAGTTTAAGAAGAAATATGTATTGAGTGATAAATTTTTCAATCTAAAAAAAATTGATCAATCTAATTTCTTTTTTTATTTATAAGAAAATGACTAATCTAATTTCTTGATCACTAGAGCAATGTACCCATTTAGCACATAATAACACGGCGTAGCTATAGCTAGAAGATTCAGTTGAATGTTATTTTCTAATTTCCATATAGGTAATTAAAACGCAACCATCTCTTGGCTCATTTGGTTATATTATTACTTTAATTTCTACATATCAGCACATGGGCGACGTGCATTTCTACTTCGTGGAATCAATATTTAGGCCTAATCATGCAAGCATGGACTTTGACTATATATGAACGGTCCATGTTATTTTTTCCTCTCAATTTGCTTTCAATAACCAAACCATCCATCACTATCCACAAATTATACAAAAAACAAAAAAAAAAAAGAGGTCATTTGCTTTGCTTCTGTAGCTTTATATATTTTTGCAGTTTTGATTCTGCCCACATCGCATTGATCTGTGACTTGGGATGCTTTGTGCATCACAAAATCCAAACTTTCCTGATGCGATGTATTTAAAATTGTTAATAGCCATGTGGCATACATAATATAAGCTCTATCTTAGTGATCGGTGATCAGCTTATGATTGGGGTATGTGGAATTAATTTCTTCATTATCTGATGTTTAATTAAAAGCTTATTCAGGGTCAACCATAGAGTTGATATGCATGATGATGATACACTTTCTCAAATGTAGTCAGAAAATCCGATTTTTAAATGCACACTAGTGTGTTAATTGGAATGCTTTTTGGAAGAGCTAAAATCACTATATTTGAATGAGAAACTTAAACCGTTTATGGGCTAAGAAGCGCTTTCTAGAATATTTATTTAAATATCTAATAAAAATAGTGAAAAACTTAAACCGCTTCATAATATAAGTGCTTCATAGACAATCATAAATGAAAAATTTAGGGTCTGTTTGGTATTCTACTTGAATCCAACTTTTTTTATTAGAAAACAATTTTCAAGTTTTAGACCTTAAAAACTTATTTGGTATGACTAGTTTCAAAAACTGAATTCAAGACTAACTCAAAAATATAGTCTATTATCTAAAAACATAAAAAGTGAGTTTTTAGAATTTTTAAACTTAAACTTACTCGTTTCTTTTCTCTCCCTCCTCTCCTCTCACTCCAAATCTATCTCTTTTCTTCTTTCTCTCTCCTCTTTTTTTTTTTTTACCTTTTTCGTCTCCCCTCCAATCCACTTTTTTCATTTTCTCGGTTCTTTCTCACTTCTCTTCCTCTCTATCTCGTCCAATCCTCTTTTTTTTTCTCTTTCCTTCAATCATCTTTTATTTTATTTCCTCCTCTCTCTCCTCTTTCTCCTTCTCTTGTGACTCCCTCTTTTTAGATTTCTTTGTCTAGTTTAAATTGTAAGATTTAAAAATTTTAAATCACAAACCAATCAAGTTTTTTAATCTTAAAAAAAATTGTTTTTAAGAAATGTTCTTAAGAAATGTTTTGAGAAATGATAAAAAATTTCAAATAAGATACCAAACAAGCCCTTACCTTTCGGCTTTGTTTGATTAGGTAATTAACAACAAGTGGGTTGGCCCAGATGTCCGTGAACATCGAAGTTTTTCTTTTCCTAATTAAAATTATAGCTGCCCTGCCATTATCATGTGTATTACAACATGGTGTTTTGTGGCTTAAAATCTGCGACCCATCACACTTCATTAGATCATGGTGCAAAATTGTGTAAACATGCACATGAACATATATGCTCGAAGGTCAGATAGTATCTAAAACATATGGCTGCAAGTTCAAACAATTATTAATCATTTTTGGTCCGACTTCAAAGTTCGGATTAACTTAAGGCTTAATGAATAATGTTTCCGGATAGAAGTCTCCAATTCCAGTTTGTCTTTAGCAAGTCATTTTCACTCAACTTGTCCTTTAAATCGATTAGAAATAGTCACTCACATTTGGATTTGATATTAAAGATATGAAGAATGAATGAAGATGATTTTTAATGTTTTAATCTCAACCTTGATATGAAATCCTATGGTGGATGATATCGAATCTTTAGTCACTAGGTGATCAATAGAACAAACTCCTAAACCGATATCTCATGCGGCCTCCATGAAGCTATTATTTTATTATTTTTATTCATGGCCCTTAGCAGGCCTTATGATTGGGTCAGGGTTGCTCAAATAAAGAACATATTGAGAAATTTCATTTTGGAACGTAATCTTTACTTCTTTCAAAATGATTTCACATTTCAAATTAATAAGACAGATTTACAAATTGCGTTTATTTTCCAACAGATTATATTGTTTTTTCTTTAAAATGGGGTAAGGTTTCTGGAAGGAGCAATGGAGAAATCCATAGAAGCAATCCCATCTCATTCAATTTATTAAATAAAATATCTTAAGTCAAACCATTCAACTCAACAGATATTGGTGTATTTAGTTTATAAGAATTGCAGATATTAGCACCATATGGTATGGACTATTGAGTCATCTTCATATTTGACTAATTAAGGAGTCAGGACATACATCTTACAACCATGAGGAGCAACATTTGCAGTCAGCCCAGTGAGCATGCGCCTTGAAACAAATGAGTGCTGCAAACAAATGACATTACGGTTTTCTGTCAGTGAGGACTAAGATATAGTTCATCTATTTATACAACATTAAAGCATGATACTGAAAAGTGAAACTTTTTAATGTGTCAGTCATACCGCCCATAAGTCTCTGACTGTAACAGGTGTATTTGGCGAGAGTCCAACTTCCTTCCATGTCACAGTTATAGGAGCTAATGACCGGCCTCTATTCCACAACACTACCACCACTCTTTTATTTGATAATGGTCCTGCCCACACCTGCATCAAATTGAAATACATCACATGCCTTGCAGCACAAGCATGATTAATCAGTAATCTAAAATAAATTGCTGAAGTGAAGGAGGAGGGCAGCATTTGCCACTGCAACGTACTTCTAGGTCATCTTTGGATCGCAGTTTCCTCGCTTGAACTCCGAGTGGATCCTGATTAACATCAATAACCTCTTTATTTCCGAGAATCTGAAGAGTTTCCTTGCTTGCTGATGGGATGTCACATCCGATAAGTAAAGGAGCCTGTTGCAAATATAGATTTGGGATCAGCGATAAATATAGTCAAACCAACGAACTGAAATTTATATGGAAAATGTGGAGAGTACATACTTTCATGACTGCCCAAATGCTAAAATGAGATTGGTACTCCTGTACACTCATCCCTCCATTTCCCACTTCCAACATGTCAGGATCTGTTACGATTACATTAAAATTCAAATAATTATCCAACAATTTTGTTTAACAGAGATAAGAAAACAAGACAGTAAACAACATAAAAGTTTACCGTTCCACTTGCCAGGACCTGCATATGTAGCCCAAATGTTGTTTTGATCTGCAATCGACGTGATACTGAAATCGTAACATAAATTAGATTAATTCAAAACAAACTCACATAACGTTTCAAGGTTAGAATTCTCTGTCATGTCAGGATTCAGCTTGAGATCTTGAAAAAAGAAAGGAACTTTCGATCGAACCTTTCCCAAGTGTCCTTAATGTCTCCCGTGGTTCTCCAAACATTGCCATACTGACCAGCCCATTTCGCAGGATCCTCTTGTCCCCTTTAAGAACATATTTCTCTATCAAAGTTTTGTTTGTGAAAGCCAAACAGTTTCTAACTTTCTAGTGATGCAAACAGA